GCCCATAACTAATCACAATCTCCTCTAAAAAGCCATACGATACCACGTAACTCTCGATAAAGACTCTGCCATCAACTGAAACGCAAAGGAAGAACAGATCCGATGAAGGATTCCTTTAATCCCTGAACCCTACGCTGCTTCTTCCCCTGGACCACCCGCTGCGTTCAACCGCCCCCGTTCCACCCCCCGGATCCTTTATCACCCCTTCTCTCGGCCGCAAATCTCATCGATCTTCATTCCGCATACTTTGCCGCGTACGCAGCGGAGACGCACGAGGATCGAAAGGCAGAGGGTGGGCACGAACTGCACGTGGGCCTATCCGTCTCTCGGGCCTCTCTCCTGCATTTAATCAACGCCTCTGTTAATAGACAAACTCGATGCCGGGGAGTGACTCTTGATGGCAGCGTCCCGTCCTCGAGAACGGGGGCGAAAGAGCGCAGGGGTGAGGAGGGCGGCCGAAAGGGTGCCGCCTTCAAATTAAACGAAGAAACAAACGGCTAATCATGCGTCCCGCGGCAGGGTACGTAACGAAGGGGTGGAGGATACGGGAAAGATACAAAGCGAGGTCTTCGCCGTTCTCCTTCGCCCTGTTCCGCTCCTTTCGCGCGACCCCGCGAGACCTAACTTGCCAGGTCGGACGCCGCTCCGGAGGACCCGGGACGACACCCTAATGAGAAATATAAGGCAACTACCCGGTCCGAGGCGCTATTAGTTCTCTCGCCGCGAGAGAATTACCGTAGACAAGATACACGGGACGAAGTTGAAATTAATTGATAACTTCGCAGGGGATTTATGATTCCACCGCCATCCGCCTGGCAAGAGGTTACCGGTAAGAAACGTTCGCGGCACGCGGCGCAAATGAAATTGTTTCGCGACCGACTACGTGACTGAATTATTCTTACAGCATCTCCTGATGCGAGGGATGACGCTGTTTTCGACATTGCTTTCGCTTTCGGGATGTGAGGAAATGGCGAGTTTTTAAAACTTCCCAGTTCACCAGGATTATATCTTCGTGGTAAATTAATAATTATTCTATAACAATTTTGAAAATATGCAATTGGTATTGGGGTGGATTCGAAAAATATTTTTAATTTAGATTTATGTCTTTGATGAGGAGAGAAGATAACGGAGGATGAAAAATAGGATGATGTGATATTGACAGACTCTTGGGGTAGCTTATAATAATTGCTTGTATTATTAATTTATATGAACATAGAAAATTTGAAAAAATATTAGTAGCCTCTATATATGTATATATTATTGATCATGAGTGAACTAACAATAAGCTAGGAAACATGAGAAATTTTCCAATTCTCGAGGATTATACCTTATTTTATATCCTGCATCTCCATGATAAATTAATAATTATACTGTGACAATTTTGAAACTATGCAATCGGTATTAGGGGTGGATGATGATTCGAAAAATATTTTTAATGTAGATTTGTGTTTTTGATGAGGAGTAAAGATTATGGAGGATGAGAAATGAGGTGATATAGTATTGACAGATTCTTGGGGTAGCTTATAATAATTGCTTCTATTATTAATTTATATGAATATAGAAAATTTGAAAAAATATTAGTAGCCTCTATATATGCATATATTATTGATCATGAGTGAACTAACAATAAGCTAGGAAACATGAAAAATTTTCCAATTCACGAGGATTATATCTTATTTTATATCCTGCATCTCCATGATAAATTAATAATTATACTGTGACAATTTCCAAACTATGCAATTGGTATTAGGGGTGAATAATGATTTGAAAAATATTTTTAATGTAGATTTATTGCCTTTGATGAGGACCGAAGATAAGAGAGGATGAGAAATGGGGTGATGTGGTATTGACAGACTCTTGGGGTAGCTTATAACAAATGCTTGTACTAATAATTTATATCAATGCGGAAAATTTGGAAAAATATTCGCATCTATGTATAAATTGATTACGAGAGAAGTTAGAGGAATCTAGGAATACAACGTGATGTTGTCTCATTGACATAGGTTTCGAGATTCTTTATATGGGGACTAAAGAATAGCTGACAGGAAGAATACAAAGAGACAGAAATACAGGAAATTTCTTTACCCCATATCTGCAAAGGAAGCAATAGTGTACCTAAGAAGCTGCAGAAACTGAAGAATTCTCAGATCAGATTCTCGTCTGAAGATTTCATAGAGAATTTATTTTCCACTAGAGGTAACTAGAGATATTAATTTATTCACTCAAAGCAACTCCTAATTTCCTCACATCTAAGATAATTTCAACCTGCAAAATTAGATAATACGATATTAAATTATGGATGCGTGACAGGAATTATAAGACACGAATTACGTTGAGACTAACGTGACAGAGGGTAGCCTAAATGACAAGCATCTTGACAGTCTCGTACCCCTTTGTACCCCGCGAAATGATCAGCTTCCTTCGTTAATATCAGCCCGTCATTACGCAATTCCGCAATTATCGAAGCTCCGACGTTACAGAACGTGATCACAGTGAAACGAACCAAAACAAACGTGCCTGAAACAAATCAAAGCTGCTCGGACGCGTTTGAATCTGATTACCGAATTCCACGATTCAGTACCCTGAACACGTTCTAATCTACATTTTCCAATTTCCCCCCACCCCCCATGGAATTCCAGCTGGTGTATCGTTTCGGGTAACGAAAAATCCAACGAATCGCAATAATCCGACTTCGCCCTGCCCCGTGTACTCAACGACCTAGCTAAAACTGATTAAAGATCGGAGTACACAGGGCCGGAGTAAAAGGGGATGTTTCCACGGCACCGATGCGAGAAAACGCTCTCTTCTTCCGCAGAAAGCCGGCATGGACGAGCATTTAGCCGAAGAAAAACCGGTAGTCGGGTGTTGGTTTATTACTCGCTCGATTCTTAGGTCCGACACCCTCGCGGGTCTAAAGCCTGGCGGTGTACGAGGTCGTCTAGCCCCTCGGAATCGTTCTCTATGTCTCCCGGGCCACGACAACGTTCTTTGCCACGGTTTCCCGATGGAAAAGCGTCGACGCGCTGAAAAGACGGAAATTCTGGCCCTCTTCCACCGTTTCCGGCGAACAGACGCCGCGGTATCGGCTTTATACGCAACTATTTAAGCGGGGTACGCGTTTCTTGCTTGGCTCTCGCTTCAAAGGATCCCCCTTTTCTTTCTCACTCTTTTTCCTTCGCTGCTCCACGCATTTCCGACGGGAAATCCGCATTCAGATTCTAATGAAAGTTTCTTTGTCGATCGTGCCAACTGTAACAAGCGCCTTCGAGTGGTGAACGCTGACTTCTTTCGCGTCTGGCCAACACACGGGGTTAGATGAATATTCAGCCCGAGGAATCGATGTTCCCGATTTTACAGCAGTACTCTGTCCTACTGGTCGGAATTAAGACTCGTTTTATAATCGCAGTTCGTGACGTGATGGCCACAGTGGAGTTTCGTAAATCTTGGAAATCTTTGAGAAGTTTGTTGATAATATGGATATTAACAACGTTGAGATTTCAACAATAGGATACCGAGAAGTAAAGTTCGAATTTTAAAATAGGATATAAATTGGTTTAAATCGGTGTATAATGGATGAAGGTAATTAGAGATAGGAATAGAAGGATCGAGCTAAATACGGAATGAAAATTATGGAATTTATGACTTACTTAAAATTTCGAGCATTAATAATACGAGTGACTTGGTGTTTATCCACGGAATAATTAACTGTCAGTCAACGATTAACCAAGGATCGATTGGAACAAGTTAAGCTTCAGAGCTGGCAGAGCTTCGGCTCTGTATTCGTGCTCGATATTGCATAATGCAAGAGAACGAATCGAATTTTTCAGCTTTATCGATCAGGCTAGAAACGAGACGAAAATACGCGAAAGAATAACATCTCGAATGAATTATTATCATAATTATATATAAAATAAATTAAAGAACGAATTGTAATCGAATCTGACCTAATCGATCAAATAACCTTCTTGCTAATTAAAAAATTATGCTAATTTTGTGTGATAAAATTTCTAAGTGGAATCACAAACTGAGAACAATTACAATAACTTCGATTCTTTTTCAGGGATTATAATTTCAATTCGATTTTTATTATAATTTGTGAAGAATATTAATTACAAAATAGATGGGATTTTTCATAGAGTCTCATAACAGCAAAAATTTGTCAAAAAATTATAATGATTTAATATTGGAAATTAAAAAATTGATCTATCTTTGAATTTACCGGGCTCTAGTGCCTAAAGTCGCCGCTAGATGGCAGCCGAACTAGTATCGATTCCTGATCCGTGCTTTTAGTTATGAGGACCCCGATAGAGCATAAAAATGGAATTCTTAACCTTGAATTAATTACAAAATAGATGGGATATTTTATAGAGTCTCATAACAGCAAAAATTTGTTAAAAAATCATAATGATTTAATATTGGAAATTAAAAAATTGATCTATCTTTGAATTTACCGGGCTCTAGTGCCTAAAGTCGCCGCTAGATGGCAGCCGAACTAGTATCGATTCCTGATCCGTGCTTTTAGTTATGAGGACCCCGATAGAGCATAAAAATGGAATTCTTAACCTTGCATTCACTATTTAATATTCTTTGCACTATAATTTAGTTCCCAAAAATTCTACAACGAAGTGCACTTAATTAAATTGCGATAAAATTGGACAAAAATTTTAAAAATTCTTAGAACTTTGTAATAATTGCAGTCGCACGACGAGGTTAGCTTAAAATAGTCTCGCCATTGCAGTGCAGAGGGTTAATCTAGCGAGCACGTAAGATAATTCTGATTAATAAAAGTAATCGAGACAACTAAACATATTGAGGAACCGATACCCCCTAAATCACTGTCGGATAACACGGTTTCGAATTTAAATTGTTATTACGCCGATTTCACCTCGTTAGGCTGCGCCGTTGGTATAAAAGTTCCGGTAGGCGGAGCACTAATTTCGCGGATATTGCCTCGTTCAGGCTAAGAAGAAGAAGAAATTGCCGTGCAGAAGGGCACTTACTGTCCAGCCATTTCGAGTCGTACTTCAGCGTCCTCTTGAAGCTGAACGCCTTGCGACCGGTGGTTAAATTGTACAGATCCGTGCGGAAGATTACGGTATCGGCTTTCGTGAATTCGGCGTTGGTTCCGGAATAAAGAGCTGGCAGGTCCCCAGGATTGCCCTTTTCCACCCACACCGCCGTCGAATTGTCCGCAGGATCGTAAGGACACTTCGCTATGCCCATTCCCACGCCGGGGACGAACTCGTGCCGGGGCAAGTGGGTCAGATTGCTCTGCGGCAGACATTCAGGTTGGATAAACAGACGTAAACGGTAAGGGTCCGTTACTTTTGTCCCCGTGTCGAATGGAATTTAAAGTATAAGCAGGGCCGTAGCAATCGGCGAAGGGACTTCGCGTTAACCTTTTGCGGACGAGTATAGTAACTCCAAGAATCTTGGCAACAGAGAATCACATCAGCTGCTATCATTTCTCAGGCATGAAAAATTCCTGCCTACTACCTAGTAATTAACAAATCGCAATCGATAAACTTTCAATGAAACTTAATTCTTGAATTTAAATTTTAATGAAATTCAAATTTTGTAGACGGAGTGCGATATATGTATATTCAAAAATATATTTTCTTATGGTGAAACGAAAAAGAATTTTATTTTTAACTAATTAATTTCACAACGTAATTTTTATGAAGAAGGTAAGAGATTCTATCCATTGTGAAAAATAGTTCCGTCCGCAAAAGGTTAACTTTGACTCTAATTGTATCTTGGATATTAAATAATAAACGTTGATTTCGAATTTCTATAAAAATAAAGGTTGCTATGGTAAAACGAGACATTCAATTTTCGTGGTATTTTGCAAAAGATTTAAAATCGGAAATGCAAATTCGATTCACACGATAATTTTCTCGAAAGCAACCGAGGATCTAGATATCGGCACGGTGGCGCTAGTGTGCCGCGAAGGATTAACATCGCAGAAACAAAACTTACCACGAAGATTGAATAAACGTATGATATTAATGATGCAATATTCGCGAAAAATTCGCGCGATTGAGAAAAAAGAAATTAGATCCGAGGCAAAGTGCGTGGACGAGTGGTGGGAAATTTGAGGTTAGGGTAACCCGAACCTACGCAGAGGCTGCACGTTACCGTGCAAAACTCTATTACACGCACGGGAGTCGTAATCTTCGACAAAGCGAGACCAATATATTCTTTGACTTCATTACACGGGTACTTGAACGCTCGATTCATTTACCTCGCTGCGTAACTGCAGCGCCGATGGCGCTGTGTTAGTGACAGATTCTACGCGAGGAATTGATACCTACATTACACGGTAACGAAGCAGCAACATCGGCGTAGAGATTGCAGGGACTAAATTCTCCCTATTTATCCCGGTCCAATCTTAATCCCTAACAACGATCGATATTTACCATGTTTTAGATGGTATACACTTGGCTACCTATTTAATTCCGCTATTTCAAAAATCACGATTTTAATATGAATAGATGTGATATACTTCGTTCAAAAATTATTCGTATACTAGAGGTGGGCTTGCTCGACACATCGAAATCCAAGAAAGTTTCCGAAATTTCAAGATTAATAAGAATAATTACACTTTTTGGCAATTGAAAATATTTAATACGTTAATCGCCAACTACCGATACTTTCTTGGTAAAAATTTTTACCAAGATATACAGGGTGTCTCAAAAATATGTATACACACTTTGCGTGATTATTTAGAATGGGTTGTACCTAGAAAAGAAAAAATAAATTAGAAAGAATAGGTATTAAAGTGTGTATATATATTCTTTTGGGGCAGGGCCTGTATTTGTGACGTGATCTCGAAATTATTTAAAATTCATTAACAGAATATACTTGAACGCTAACTGCGTGAAGAGTATACTGTTAGTCATTGATGACTAACATGGCGCTTGACGTGTTAAGATGAAGATCGGGCTATTCCCGATGTAGATAAATCAAGATTGGGACCTTGAATTTAGACTGCAACGAATCTCGAAAATTAGTATGATTTTCGAAAATTCAGAAATAAGCTTCGTAGCCACCTTTAGTAAAAGATTCGAGGTGTTCGGTGGACGAAAAAATCTGTCGACACGGGAACAATGCAACAAACGGGGGAAATGAGGAACAAACACGTGGATACTTACATAAATCACCCAATCCTTGGGCGAGTGAGCGTTCGTGCCGCACATGTAGAGCCGATTGCCGTCCCCCATTGGCTGGATCACCCTTATGTGATTCCGGCAGTCGAAGTGCTGCAAAAGAAGGGGAAGAAAATTGAATTTTCCGACAGGATACGTGCGAAGAAACGTGGCCCAGGGTGGGGGACGATAGTTCGATGCGTGGACAGGGATTTTTCGGAAAATTATATAGAACGAGATGGTGGCAAAAGGGTTCTCCGGGTGCCGACGTCGCGGTCGATCACGTCGCCCCGCGTATTTCGCTGCGAATTGGCGCGCAGAAAATAAATTGGTTTTGTCGTCACGTAGAGAGTATTTGCGTGGACCTTACACCTTGCCGATGCGTCCGCGATGAATACCGAATGAAGCCACGATAAGCGGCGGCGAATTGCGCGCCTTAAAATGGCGCCGTTGGATCCGCGAGATGAAGCGGTCCGAGGAAGGAAACATCGGATATCTCGTATTTTTATTTCCAATCGACTGTCTTGATATATCGCGGTCACACGAGCGATAAATAAACAAAGTTGTCGCAAATTTGAGATTTCTTTGCTGATTTTGAAGGATTTGTTTGGAGGGAATATAAACAGTGATCGATGATCTTTGGTCTAGAGTAATTCATTAACCCCCCGCGTTAGAAATTAATTAGGAAGAATAGTGAAAGAGACGTGGAAAAGTATCTAAAAAGTCTCCAAATACAGAGCGTCCTATTGGAAATTTCGCAATATATTATTTCCTAAATTATAGTTCGTTTCAGAAAATTTTTCGTTCTTATATGAAATTTGCTTTGTTTCGAGGGGGACATGTGAAATTTCAAGGTAACCTCCAAGGTTTCCGTAATGGAACTGTGCATTTCAGGGTAAACAGGTTAATGAATTCACAAAAAGAAGTTAAAAACACAGTTCCATTAAAAAAGGAGAAAAAAGAAAAGGAAGATTATCTTGAAACCTTGAAAGCATGTGTACCTAATAAAAATATATGACAGTAATAAGATGTCCTTCTTAAAACAGGGTGCGTTTCGTTTAACACACATTTTGGAAATAACTATAGTTTAGGAAATAATTGAATGAGAAACTTTAAATGAAACACCCTATATATTAATTTCCAATTTTCTTATATATAAATAATCGACTATTTTTCTCAAAAATGTAGCATGATAGCTAGCATAACAAGCAAATTGTCAACGTCGACTATAATACTAACCCTAGATTTACGAACATTTCTTGCATACCTATTTTTACAGACACCTGTGAAATTGACGACTAAAGGAGACCATATATTTTCTTAAATAAAAAGAAGAACGATTAATTTAATCTAAAAACAATTAGAATATTAAGAGATTTTATATAAATTAATTAAATCTATTGATATTATATAACTGAAGCAACACATCCGTCAAATTGACAGGTGCCATAATGAACCTAGTACTAAGGGATCCACGATCGTTCGTTGAAATCGTCTACTTTCGGCCATGATGGAGCAAAAATCGCTTCGCGATTGACTAGTTGCCCGTTCCCACCATAGACCATCCAACTGAACGAACTAAATAGGACCGATGTTCGCGCAACCAACGTAAATACCGTTGAAAAATCGGCAATTAGCGCGAGTGAGGTCGCGATGCTCCATCTCGCTGAAAATTATCGCTATATGGAAACATTATCACCGCCAAATTGGAAACGTCATCGATTGGAAACGAACGAATCCGTTCTCAATTAAGGCAACGCGAACGCGACCCGATCGATACTCCATAAAACGAATGCCTCGAACGGGAAACATTTTGGCCCCGTGTTGTTTCCGTTATTCCGTTCCAGTGAAAGTTGCGCGCTCGTTGACAGGTTTCAACGAATCTGTTCAATACCAAATTTCGTTTAGATGCATTCCGCGGCCATAGAACTGGACCACGCGGTCCATTAAACGGCATTTCTCTGATTTCTCTATTCCACCTGCTCTTTGTCTTCCTCTCTTGGTCAAGATCCATTTATTTCGCATGTAAAACGGGCAACAACGAGATTACCCCATTTTCTATTATTTTTCTTATTATTTGTGCTTGATTCGCTTCTCGTGAATTGGGGATTATGTGGCATCGATACACACTAACCCTTTGCACTCAGGAAGGGGGCACCTTCGGTCATCATTAAATTAAATTTTGAAAATCGATATTAACTAATATGTTAGATTTAAGATAAGGTAATGGTGAACGAGATATTGAAATTAAATGATTTTACTTTTTAATTATTATACCATTTTTCATTTAATTTTTAAAAAAATATCCTCGATTTTATGACAGAAAATCTTTGGATTTCTACTCTTTTGTAGTGGAAAAATCGTCGAGTGCAAAGGGTTAGGTCATTGATTATTAAGATAAATATTCATCGAATCTCTGGATAACTTAGTGCTCTCAAAGAAATTTGCAATGTTAACAGTTAATTTCGTTAAAACTATTTTAAGAAAATTTAATTGGAAAATAAAAAGATTCTATATCGTTTATGGACAATCCCCGAAATATATCTTTGCAAATATAAATTTGTCATATTTACAACAAAGATCGTCGATTCTACCGAAATCATATCACAGTGATTGTAGTCTACGTACAATGTAAAAAGAGAGAAATTAAGAAATTCAAAACAGGAAACAATAACACTAAATTCACCGCGATGAAGGAAATAATTTTCTAAGAGTTGAAGTTAAAAATTGTCCTATATATCGTGATAGGTATAATATTAAATAGCTATAATACCCTGTGTAATTTTCGACAAAAATTTTCATTCGTTTCTTTTTAATAAGAGTCGAAAATGGCAATTGGTCTCGTTTGAAATTTTATTCCATCCATCGACCCTCCCTTTCGGCCTTTCCCTCTGACCTTCGCCTCGTTTCGTTTTACATTTCCGTAATTACACCACCTCCGTGTTTCTACTTCGAGCGACGCTTTAATTAGATTAGCCCGTTATTAAAATTCCGCCAAAAAGCGGCGCGAGCCGACCCAGTAAACGCGATAATGAAATAAAGAAGTAACTCACCTCTGATTTCCCTTTGGACACACAATTTGCCACGTTGCTCGGCTCCAGATTAAGCGCGTCCCTCTGTAAAAGAAAAAGAAACGAAATTAGTCATTTTATCGTCACGCAATCATACTAGACCTATAAAAGATTTACAAAAGGTCAACAAATTTGTGCAAACATCACACGTTACAAAGAAGAAAATTCAAAAACTACGAAAATTCAACGATATATGCAATATATTGCATTCCGCGGAGATATAGACCGTGGTGGCGCTAGTGAGTTAAGTGGCGAATCGTCTCAGAACTCGTATAATGATTAAAGCTGTTTGGAATCTTGGGTCGATACTTGGACTACAGCTAGATGTCAGTGCATTTATGCAAACCTCACTTATTGTACATATGATTAGTTTAATTAATTATTAACTCATAGTCTTTCGCATCGTGGCACTGTTAACACGCATACTAAATGAAAAATAAAGAAATCAAATACTGGTATAGTCCAGGAAATTCTGATCGCATATCTAGGAAAGGAAAAATTTCACTTCGAATATGCCCACCATAATTACGAGCCGATCGTCTTTAAATTATATTCCTCGGAGATGAGGACCGTGGTGGCGCTAGTGAGTTAAGTGGCGAATCGTCTCAAAACTAGTGAAAGGATTAAAACTGTTTGGAATCTTGGGTTGATACTTGGACTACAGCTAGATGTCCTTGCACTTATACAAACCTCACTTATTGTACATATAATTACTTTAACTAATTATTAACTCACAGTCTTTCGCTTCGTGGCAGTGTTTTCACGTATAATAAATGAAAAATAAAGAAATCAAATAATGGCATCGTCCAAGAAATTCAGATCTCACGATGAGGGAAGAAAAAATTCCACTTCGATTATGCCCATCATAATTACAAGCCGTTCGTCTTTAAATTATATTCCTCGGAGATGTGGACCGTGGTGGCGCTAGTGAGTTAAGTGGCAAATCATCCCAAAACGCTTACTCGTGAAATGATTAAAATAGTTTAGACTCCAGAGTTGACAAATAACGCAATAAACATGAACTAGGTGTCAGAATCATGTCATGGACACAACATGGACTCATGTCATGGATCAAATGTCATTCAACGCTCTCAGTTTTCAACTTCGTGTCACTTTTTCACCCATACCAATTGAAAAATAAAAACTGAAATACTAGTATCGTCCAGGAGATTCAGAGCTCGCGACGAGGGAACAGGAAATTCCGTTTCGATGACTGACGCCATAATTACGAGCCGTTCGGTGTCGAGACTGAAGAGGTCTCCTCGGCTGCACCTCGCGTTCTTACATTCGTTCGTTTGACGCCCGTCCCACAGCCCAGCCATCGTCTTTCCATCGTTCCTCGACTTTCCACGACGCGCCATTCTTGCAGCCGTCGACTGCTCCACACGGCCGACCTTACACAACGTGAAGAGCCGCGACGAGGGCATGCTCGACGTTTCGCGAGCGCGAAGAAGAGGCTGCACTCGTGTCATTGTGCGGATCGCGACGCCTTGCAGACGGACGCCGCGCCACTCGCTTTTCCAAAGACCCTCCTCCTTCGCGAATGTGTCGGTTGGAATAAGGTCAACAGACGGAGCTACGGAATTGAAAAAAGCCCGAAGAATCGAGTCTGGTGTCGCGTCTTCGAGGAGAGCGATGCACCTTCGTGCCTCGATTCCACGGTTAATTCGACCCGACTATTAACAATTATTAACGATTATTAACGCGTTCTATGGAAGACTTTGGCGACCCAGTTTTCGGCTTCTGGGGTGGTATACAGATACGTGGAGTTCGCGTTCGTTGAGGTGGTGCATGTACGTGTGATTCGCCTTTGTAGAAGAATATCGAATCGAGAAGGGATACAAAGAGGTTTAGAAAAATGTCAGCTCGGTTGTATAAAATAATAGAGAGTGAGATTTGTTCAAACCATATTTTAATATCGTGCAAGGGAAAATAATTCGATCCCCATGAAACCCATTCTAAAAATCTTTTTAAATTTTGATATTAAAATAACAAATCTATTTTATTTCGAAATAAATTTCTGTTCTGCCTCTCGTGGAGTTTATCGATTTGATACACGAGTGACTCATACGTATTGTATAATACTATGTATTTGAACTAGGATACAAAATATTTTCCGATAGACAATCGATTTATTAATTTTTTCTTTTATTCCATAACAAGTTCCTTTTTTAAATTTCGCGAATTTCGATGTTTTATTTCGGTAAAATAGTTTCTCGAATTTTTTCGAACCACATCGCATATTTTTGGCTTAATATCAAATGTCCCGATTGGCTCTAAAAGATTTAAATTTCCTGCTATAAGTGATATAAACGAATCCTTCGATAACCGAGTGACTCGTGATTAATTTTAATTGGATGCCGGTAATTAAATATGACAGAGACGTAGCGAAAAGTTCTCGGGAGTAGCAGGTAACGTTTGATAGCAGAGATTTCAGAAGTCTAGGTGTACATTGAAGAGACTAAGTGCCGTCTGCGAACGCTTATGTGTGCGTGTGTCGGTGACGATGAGACTTCTTAAAGACGAGAAGCACATAGTCTAGCGAGTTTAGAAAGGGCAAGTTTCAGCAAAGAGAGAGCTTTTTGAAATTATCCTTGCTCGTTCAAGCAACAGTCTTCTTTGGTCGCGATATAAAAAGACTCGTCTTGGTTCAGCAACATAATCGTGGCTGCTTAATTCTAGATTACGACTATATAAAATAAAATATACAAGATAAAAATGTACCCCATTACCCTTAAAATTCGTATCATCGAAATGAACAAATTTGAAATTTCCCAATAAAACCGAGACCGAAATAAGAAGCTCGAAATGTTCGCTTAGGAGAGCTTCCTCGAAAGTTTCATTGGCTATCAAACAAGATTGGATGTCGATATATGTGACGTAGGAATGAAATACGACGTGTAATATACCTCTGTACGAACCTATATTTTCTATCACGATCCTTCAGTTTCTTATTTTCTAACTTATGACCCCGATCTCGTTTTTAGTATCACGAGTACTTTACACCGATGATGGTTTAATCTTCTATCCGACTATGGATCTCGCGATAATTCCGCTCGTAAAATTTTTATTTCGATTGTAATCGTAAAATAAATATTATTCGCCTCGTAATGATACAACGAAGAAAAAGAAGAAAGAAAATGACGAGGAAAAGAAGGAAAATGCAACACGATCATCTGTGTGACACTGGCAAAATCTTTCCAGTGAATTGTAATGACTGTCATGCTCAATTTAGATTTTAGATTCTCGGGAAATGAAAAATGGAGGATGAAATTAACACAAAAGTTCAGAAATTTTATTAGCAATAGATATTCCATGAAATGAATTTTTTAAATACATGTCGCATATCGTTTCACACGAATATAGAGCAGTGTCCATGTATAAAGCAGTATTCTGAAATGTTTTAATTATTCCAAGAATAGCTTCCACCTGTTTGTGAATTATTAACGTGAACCCTTAAAGGTAGCATTATCAATGTCTATATCTGTGAATAATATCGTAAATGTTAAAATCAGAATATTCGAAATGTAATCTATTCGTGCGTTGATAAAAATTTATCTCATCATTCTGCGATAAAATTTATTAATGTCATAAATAAAATTAATTAATTAATTAAGTGTGAGAATAAGAATTTGAGACACGAATTTCTTCTTGCACTGTAGTTCATTACTTTTCACAATTCCTTTTTCCATGTTACATGGAAAATGAAATAATAATAAAATTAATTATATAAAATTTATATATTTATATATATTATAAATTTTATCCATACAAAAATCCCGAATCTATTCACTGTATTTAAAATATTATACTAACTACTTCAGTTTATGTCATTGACAGAACCTTCCTAAAATATACCTGCCTTTTATTTTTGGATCCACAATTATATCCCAAATTATGATTTAAATCGCACAAAATTAAGAATTAAATTTACTCATAACCTGGAACCAAAACTTAGAATAAAATTGCTAGAAAAAAGTATATACGTGAATCAAACATAAGGACGTTATTCTTCATGGATCGGTGACACTAAATAATTCGCATTATCCGCGTTTACTGCAAATTTAATTGGCTGTTTAATAATTAAGAAGCAAATGCTATTTTCTTTAAATTATTTTATGATATTGGTAGGTCAGTACCCTTATTATCTTTTTAAAATTGTCATAGTTATTCTTATTTCGAAGTAATGAAATCCTGATAATACCTAATTACTTCGAGGATCATTTCGCTAAAGTGAAAACTAATTTAAAAGTCTAAATCTAGAGGAAAGGTGCTGGCACGATAGATAAAATTGCGAGTAAAGATAATAATTCGAATTAAAATCCATCTTCGCCAATAAATATCAGGAGGATCATTTCACGACAGTGAAGACTAGTCTAAATTTAAAGAAAAGGTGCTGGCACACCGGATAAAAGTTTGAATAAATTATTATTGTACCAACAGATAGCAGGAAAAAGATAAAGTACATTGCCAACGCGTTGTTCCCATAAAGCAGCGGATAAAATTCGATTTGAACAAACCCTGGAAAGAAAATAATCTCAGAAGCCACCCCCAGCTGAGAAGAACGGAAACCGCGAGTTGCAGACCCTTCGACCATAGATTTCGACGCCTTGGAGGAGCCTCCGGTTCTGCCATTGAGCGTTCCGTGTGCCAGAGGTCGTAGACACGATCCGGAAAAGGAAGTGGTTCGTTTGCACGGTCAATCGTCCGAAACGCGTTGCCCTTAACGATCGATCTCCTGCGGACGTCGCGTGCCGCTCCCCGCCGGTGTCACGGCCAGAAACCGCGTTGATCCTCGAAATTGTCCTAGCCCGGCCAGGAGGGAGAGGCCCGAAACACCGTTCGGTGACAGTGATCTACGACTAATAAATTAACGAAAGAATTGTTTTTGCTTGCGCACGCGACCGCGCCGTGATATTTATTCGGACGATGCGGAGGACAGTAACGGGGACGCACTCGAAACGAGCGAATTATGCGCCACGTCTGGCTTTCATGCGTCTGATTTTTAGCATCCGGCTCGTGTCCTGCCATTCTTTGTGATTCCA